TCTATTCTTCATTATTTTAACACATAGATCTCAGTTAACTCTGCACATAACTATCTTCTATCTTTAAAAAAAAAAAAAAAAACCTCATCTAGCTGCTGTTCATTTTCTTCCTTTGAATCATTGCCACATTATAAAAGGGGTGAGGGAGGAGTGGTTCCTACCTCATTTTCTTCTGCAATTCTAGTCAATTCTACTTCCATTTATTCCCACCACTTTAGTGAAGTGTATTGTTGTATGTGATGTTGCTTTATTCACTAATGGGTTGAACTTATAATCAGATTTGAATTTATTAAAACAACAATGCCTTGTAATTATTTTACAAACAATGTAGCACTGGGCTGAGGCCAAAGTTGATATGTAACCGTTAGATGTTAATTAAATTAGAAGAAAAGATCTTCAATTTTAGATAAAATATCTAAAATTGAAGAGATTTGGTAATAGTCCCCAGTCCAGAGTATTTTTCCTAAATTTGCTTTATTGCTTGTCAGTAATTAGCTTCTGCTGGTTATGATGAAGGAAAATCCTATAGACAAAAATACAAGGATTCTTTTCATTATTATTTATTGTGAACTGAATGGTTCATAGAGAAGATCATCAGTTTTGCGTTCAACAGTTCATTTAGTCGCAATGATTGCAATCCCTTCAATGTAACATCACCTATTCCACTTCTTCCCTGTGTTTCTGGTTTCCATTCCTCCTTTCCCAACCCTTCTGGATTTTGTCCTTTTAATCTTGAATGGCTGACCATTCTGTGGGATGTGTATCTCAGCAGTGTTGTTGTCCCTGCTATATCCTATTTATTGCTTGGCTGAAAATTGAGCCACAAAGTGAGTTCAGCCCCAGTCATGGAGGGCGATGGAGGGCCATAGTCTTGGGGTTCTACCAGTCTCTATCCGACCAATAAGCCTGGTCTTTTTTGTGATTTTGTGTTTTGTTCCACATTTTTTCCACTCTAGCCAGACCTTCTGACGTGATCCCTTTCAGAGCATTTGGTCGTCATCTAGTTCTTCTGGTCCCAGAATCATGGAGACTGATGTTCATTAATCCATTAGACTAATTGTTTCCAAGTGTCTTCAGTTTTCATCATTCTTTTTTCCTCAGGACAGGGAGAGACCAACAGTTGCGCCTTACATAGCCACTCATGAGTTTTTAAGATCCCAGTAGCTTCTACCAAAGCCAGATGTAAACCATTGTCTTTGTGGATTATTTTATGCCAACCAAGTCCCAATGCATTGTGTGTATTTACACTACTAATGCTAGAATGAAATTCATATAAATTATAGTGCCAGACTGCAAAGCCATTTGAACTGCAAGGTTCAAGCTCATCAGCTGCTCCTTGGAAACCCTATACAGGGTCTCTATGGGTCGGAATCAACTCGACGGTACTTAACAACAACAGCAACAACATAGCCTTATATGTTGTTTATGTTTTCCTAATGAGGTGACAATAAGTGCTAGACATATGATTTCATTCCATAATCTGTTCTTTAGTGGTTAATGAATATAGTGCTATGATGTCAGATAGTCCTGGGTTCAAATCCTAGCTCTGTCTTTTACTAATTATGTGGCTTTGGGAAATTTTCTTAATTTTTCTAAGAATCAAGTGTCTCATCTAAAAAATAAGGAAAAGATAATCTCAATGACACAGAGATGTTTTGAGAATAAAATGAGAAAATGCATGTAAAATATTTAGCACAGTGCCTGGCACATGTTAAGTGCTCAATGTGTGGCAGCATAAGAAGTTAAGGTTTACCTACCTGCCTTGACTGCATTGCCAGTGGATATTGCTACTAGGTTTTCATTTAGTCAGATGAATCTCCAAACTATTTCTGCTTCTTCCATTATATGATAATGTAAACCAACCCCTCACTACCCTTTATATATCCCAGTTGTTGTTAGTGGTGCTGAATCATTTCTGACTCATAGCAATCATGTATAGGGTTTGAATTGCCAACCTTGTGGTTTGCAGTCCAGTGCTTATCCTACAGCACCACACTAGGAGTCCTTCCTATCTCTAACCCTTCCCAGATGACCTATATATTAAATTACCATTCATTGTTTTCCTCTTTCTTGCCATTACAACTGTCATTCACTTAGTATATCTAAACTTTGTAACAAAATTTAAAGTTATCTCAAGGTGGAATTTGTCCAAACATGTACCATTAATTTCTTCTCTTAGGTCATATCTATAGCTTTCCTACTAATAACTTAATTTTTAATCCCAGTGAATCTTTATTTGGGACATTTTAGAAATATCCTTTATTTTTTTCAAAATTTTATGAAGTATCCTAACCTATACATAAGTATTTGTACAATAGTATAAAAAGACCTACTGTGATTATGAAATTTAGTATGTTTTATCTTTCTGATTGGTAGGAAACTTGCTATTTCATGATATAGCCATGGTTGTTTTAATACATAAACACTATTGTAAGTGTGCTATGATGCTGAATGTTCTGTTGTTATCCATATCCAATGTGATGGATAGACATATTAACCACAATCAACTCAAACATACCAACAGTCATGAATATGGCACAGGACAAGGCAACAATTCATTTTGTTATCTAGATAAGGTCACCATGAGTCAGAGCTGACTCACAAGGAAGTAACAATAACATGATGCGGAACATATGTCAGTGGATCTTCTAGACTAAGAAGAGAAGACTGGCAGTCTTAGTTCCACAAGGTCAGCCTATGAAAACTCTATGGATCACAGTAGTCTACCTGCTGTGCTTGGGGTTCAGGGGCTGACAGCCAACTCCACTATTAAATAAAATTGACTTCCCAGATAGTGTACCAGTTTTTCTATATTCGGGTGCACTGAACCTAGCCCCCATAACCCAGTTTCGACAGCTTGACTTCTGCTTGGTTTTTTCCATCTAGATGTAAGGCTGCTCTTTGGGGAAAAAAAGATGCAGATGTGAGCTCCAGCTGTCTCCCAGAGACAGAGGTGGGTAGGAAAGAACAAGAAGTTCTTACACAGACTCAAGGGTCAGTGTGAGCCTCAGTCATTTCATTTCTTTTTCTGTGGTACCACCCTACCACAACTCCAGGAATCCTAGTGTGGCGCTATGAGTTAATGTGATAGGACTGCAAAGTTTGTTTGAACTGCAAGGTCAGTCAGCGGTTCAAGCTCATCAGCTGATCTTCGGAAACCCTATACAGGGTCACTATGGGTTGGAAACAATTCAACAGCGCTTAAGAACAACAACAATGCCTAGGATATTGATCTTAATGCATTCCATTTCATTTTTGGCAGCTTACAGTTTTCCTAGATTCATACTTCATACATTACATGTTATGATTTTTAATGGATATTTGCATCTGTTTCTTCTCATTTAACAATAACAACCCACAACTGCATAATCCTCTATAGTTTGGCTGGACTTTAAGATCTAAAAAGAAACATGGAGAAAAGGAGGGAAGCAAATCAAAGGGAAGAGAAGCAATTATAGAATTAAGTATAAATTCTTCATAATCTAGCCCTGTACTTTATATGTATAATACAGTAGTCACTAGCCATAAGTGGCTGTTCAGCATTTGAAATGTGGCTGGTTCAACCAAAGAACAGAATTTTAATTTCATTTCATTGAAATTGAAAAGCTAAAGAAGTGTAAAATGTTATTCCTTTAATCACTACTGCATTGTTTTGATAGGATTACATTTCACTCTGACTGCATCTGAATTGAGATGTGCTATAAGTGTAAAAGACCAGATTTCAAAGCCTTACTATGAAGAATAAGGAGCTCTGGTAGTGTAGTGGTTACGAATCAGGCTGCGAACTGCAAAGTCAGCAGTTCGAAACTACCAGCTGTTCCGCGGGAGAGAGATGAGGCTTTCTGCTCCTGTAAAGATTTACAGCCTCGGAAACCCTATACAGGGTCGCTATGAGTCGGAATCGACTCCACGGCACATAACAACAACAACAACTATGAAGAATAATGTAAAATATCTTATTATTAGTTTTTATACTGATTACATGTTAAAGTGATAGTTTAGATATTTGGGGTTACATTACATACTATTAAAATTTGTTTCACCTGTTTAGTCTCTTTAAATATGGCTTTAAAATATATGAAATTACATATGTGGCTCTCGTTATATTGGACAGTGTTCATCTAGCCCAACTTCATGCAATCTTACTTTCCCTTCCTTCCTTAGCAGGAAATTTCTGAGGGTCAGGAAGGAGAATCTGTACCTAATTCCTTGAACACCAAGGGAGGCATGGCTGCCAGGGTCACTGTGAGTTATGGATTCAGAGGTTCTCAATAGGGTTGTAGAGTAGTTTCCAGATTTGTCTATTCATACTTCCATTTCCTCATTACCTGAAATATACTATAACCACAAATGTAAAATTAACTATTGTATGTATTATTTGCCACCAAATCCAGTAATGCCTTTGTATATTGTTAAATGTTGATGGATTAACTTTCAGGTTTATTCAGTAGCAGTGTAATACATTCATATACATTTATTATGAGTCACTCACATAGTAATGTTTTTGTTGAGAGGGGTGTTACTTTTATATGTAATATTTGATATAATAATTTCTGAAAATAGCTTGCCTTGCTCTTTAAAAAAATTTGAGGTGGCATATAATATAAATAACATAATAAAATCATATTACTATGCTAGCAGAATAAGAAATTATCAAAAATAAAAGAACATTACAAACAGATTGTAAACTCAGAAGTTTCTATAACTTTGTAATTTAGTTCTGAGTTTCCTAATAGCCACAGAAAAATGATATACAGAATCTGTTACATAATTATTAGTTATTTAGAAAGAGATAGTATATCAACTACCCTAAGGAAACATAGTTTTTCCTAGCACTAAATTCTAAAGGTAATTTCTCATATGAGTCACTGTAACATTTTATAGCAAATTCAGTAACATTGTATATGACTGCATCTTGTAGTGTCATTTTATGTATAAATAAATAAGCATATGACAAATAATTATATGTTTTATCTTGACAGGAATCTTGGAAAACCAAAATGAGGCACAATCAGATGTGTTGTGAGACACCCCCGACTGTCACTGTTCATGTAAAATCAGAGTTAAATAGACCACAACCTAAAAAACCCATTAATATGAAACGTTCTATTTTTAAAGATGGTTGGCAAGCATCTGAAAAAAATGCACATAATAATAAATCTAAACGTCCCAAAGGACCTTGTCTAGTTATACAACGTCAGGAAATGACTGCCTTCTTTAAATTATTTGGTAGGTTTGAAATATTGTGTAATGCTGGTAATTGTAAAGTACTTAATGTAAAGATCTATTTTAACATGTTCATTATCAAATTTCCCATCTTTGACCATACTAGTTTTTATTTTATCTTTTTTTAAATGTTGAGCTTTGTTTATCTGTTTGCTTTTGCATTTAAAAATTTAGATTAGCGTCTAAGATTACTTAGATCCAGATATCAAATGTAAATTTGGGGCACTTCAGGTTCATAGCATGAGTTTTGTGTAGTCTAAACTACTAGATAGAGTCTTGGTGTAACAATGTAGGATAAACATTAGACTGCCAACGCAAGGTTAGTGGTTCAAACACACCAGATGTTCCTTGGAAACTCTATACAGGGTCACTCTGAGTCAGAACTGACTCAACAGTACTTAACAACAAAGTCTTTTAGGTAAGCCAACTAGCTCAGTGTTTTGGGGGCTAAAGGGTTTCCTAAGATGGTCAGTGTTAAATATGACAAACAGGAAGGTTGGTCACCCTAGAAGTTTCAGTCTTATACCTTAGGAATATTGTTTAAATATTAACTGTCCGTTATCATGTGCTCATATAATAGAATTGGGTTTGAATTCGTTCAAGTAATGAGATAGTGCTACTTTTTGTAAATAAGTAGCCAAAAAGAAACTTGTTTATTAGTACTCTGACTGGCCAGGAAAGAGAAGGGATTTGTTGTTGTTGTTGTTGTTTGCTGTTGTTAATGTTGTTTATGTAAGGTAATAAAGTAGGCAATGAAAGTGTAGAATTGATTAGAATAGGAGTAGGCCTGATGGATTTTGGCAAATATTTGTGGGAATGAATTCAGTCAAGTAAAAAGCACAGTTTGGTAGGATCCTTGTAACAGGTTTCCTTGTTTATAGAGGAAGGCCATATGCTACTTCTAAGAGGAGTGAGTTGGGGAGTCTTGACTATTGAAAGAACAGAAATCTTTATATATATATATAAGAGAACACTTTCGCTTTTTAAAAAAGCAAAGTAAGATGAAATTGGAATAAAAAAATATAAGGAAGGGATATAAAAATGTTCCAATCAGCATGTGTTATTGTTAAGTGTTATTGAGTTGGTTCCAACTCATAGCGACCCTGTATGGGGTTTCCAAGGAGCATCTGGTGAGCTTGAACCACCCACCTTGTGGCTCAAACCGACCCTGTGATCTGGTGCTTTATCCCACGGCGCCACATTAGGACTCCAGTCAGGATGCAGAATGTTGTTAATATGCTTCCCTCTCATCACTAAGGACTGAACAAAATTATTACTCATAAGTCTTTTTAATACTCTTAAGTGATCATATGAAATGTAATACCTATCTCAACCCTTTTAAAAGAAGTACTGGTGTGGCTCTGTAGGATAAGCACTGGACTGCTAACCACAAGGTTGGTGATTCAAGCCTACCAGTCATCCTGGGAAACCCTATACAGAGTCACTATGAGTCAAAATGACTTGATGACACTTAACAACAGCAACAAAGATTTACACCCTTGGAAACCCTATTTAGCAGGGGAGGGGAACCTTTTTTCTACCAAAATTTAAAACATCATTCATGGGCCATGTAAAATTATCAACTTAAAAATTAGCCTAATATATTTGTCTGGACGTTTAATTAACTGATTGCTATGAGTCAGAACTGATTGGATGGCACATCAGTAACAGCAGTGTGATGCTGGCACTGCAGTTGCCTTGGCAGGGCCAGACCAAATGATTGGTTCCCTACGATAGAGTCCTGGGGTGGTGCTGTGGGTTAGTGAGCCAGACTGCACAGCCGTTTGAACTGTAAGGTCAGCAGTTCAAGCTCACCAGCTCCTCTTTGGAAACCCTATACAGGGTTGCTATGGATCAGAATCAACTCGACGGCACTTACAACAACACCCACAACCCCTGCTCTATAGGGTGGCTCTGAGTCAGAACCGACTCAACGGCACACAGCCACCAACACCACCCTTTTAGGTCACTTAATAGATGGGAATGGAATTAGCCTGACAAATTATTCTCAATTGGAGCTTTCTGGGGTATAAACATGAATATTAAGAAATTATATATTGTTTCTTAACTTAAAATGAAGGGAGTAGAAGATATGGGAAAGCAAATTTCCCAGGTTGTAGTTCTAACCACAACCAATATATTTGAGCCCTTGAATTGCAATAAATGTTTTGACTTACTTTTTTGATGTTACTGTTTTTCTAAGAGTAGTTTTGGTCTTTTAGTCAGATAGGCAGTTTTCCAAAATTAAATGTCAATTAGAAATTATTAATGAATTGTGAACCTTTTTACATATATATTCTTGTATATTTGAATAATAAGTAAGTGGAAGAGATAAATAGGAGATGAGAAGACGAATCCAAAATTAAAAATACCCTGGAACATGAAAGGAATTGAAAAAGTAAAACATTTAGAAAACAGGGTATTTATTAAGTTATTATTTCCTCAGAAACTAGAGTTATCCTTTATTAGATTCCATTTCTACTTGTTAAAAGATTGATTTAGGAAAGGAATGAAGAGTTAGTCTCATAATAACTCTAAGATGCATTTCTCCAAGAGGTACTGGGTTTCAATAAATCAAACATTTCTACTGCCTCTCCAATCTGTGTATACATTATGGCAAATTAGATGGGAAGATGAAGACTATGGTGATGCCTTTTTGTATAGTGCTTGTAACTATGAACACCAGAGATAACACTGGTGTATTCATTTGTTTTTTGATTTCTAAGCATCATTTATAATCTTATTCAGAAGTTAATATTTCAAAAAGATACTGTGCTTTTAAAAGAGAAGTCATAACTGTCTTTTGTTGCAGATGATGATTTAATTCAAGATTTCTTGTGGATGGACTGCTGCTGTAAAATTGCAGACAAGGTGAATTTGGTCAGAATAAAACTGTTAGCATTATATTACTGGGCCATTAGAACTTTAAGAATTTTTCATTTTTATTTAAGGTTAGGAAAAGAACTAGCCTACGTTGCTCCTTCAAACTAGAATCCTTACACAGTACCTTTTTAAATTAGCATATGCCATTCTATACTGGAGGAATTGTAGAATATTGTTGATTCCATTTAAGAGACGTTAGTCCTACTGTGGCTTTATAGGACTGGACTGTTCAAACTCACAGCCTGCTCCTTGAAAACCCGACTCAGGTTTTCTGTGAGTCGGAATCAACTCTATGACATGTAACAAGACATTCATTTGTTTAATTGAAAGCAGGAATCAGTATAGATTTAATGTCTTTTTGTTAGAATTATCTGTAATATAAATGTTTAATGTTTTATAAGTAATTCAGATAAAACAAAATTCCAGTAATCTTGTAAACTAGTTTAACATGTTCTTTATTTAGGGATCAGTGTTTCATAAAAGAAAATTATACTAACATTACACAGTAGCAACAAAGCTGAACATTCAAGATTGTAGCTTTGTAAATGACATTTTAGACCATGCAGTCATATCAGGGACTGAGTAGGACAAATAATCTCCATGTGCTTATCATCCAGTGCTTAGCTCGGTCATCAGTTATGGCCATGTGTTTCTTCTAAGACCTTTTCTCTAAACTAGACTTTTTATTTTTTTTCATGAGATCTTTAGTCACCATAATGTTTGAGCCCTAGCAGTTTTTGTTAATGTTTTATTGTGAATTTATGATAGTTTACATGAGAGAACTTTAGTTTTACATTCATTCCATCGTATATCATTTCATTGCCATGGTTCCAATCCTCTCCATGCGTCATCCTCTCTATCTCTATTTCAGGCATCTCTGCTTCTCTGGGTAGGGTCCCACTCTCGGCTCTTCTCCTTTGATGGTTCTAGAGACCTCTGCTCCTAGACTGGAGAATTAATCACTCCCTTCCTTGCTACAAAACGTCTGCCTTTGCATTCCATCCCTCATAATCAGTCCTGATAATAATTATTCACTACAGTATCACAAGTGACCCATCTGTATTTCATTTCATCAGCTCCACCTAGACAGATTGGATAGTACTTACTGGAGATTCTGCTTTCCTCCATGCCCCCTAGCTCTAGGTTCCCTCTTGAAAGCTTGTAAGCCAGGCACTTCTTGCCTTTGTAGTCCACCCCCACCCCCACCCCATTTAGGTATCCAATGTTCAACAGGACTATTTTGAAGCAAATTCTAGATATCACAACATTTTAGCAACAAATATTTCCTAGTATATCTCTAAAGGAGTCCTGGTGTGGTGCTGTAGAATAAGCACTGGACCAAAAGGTTGGGTTGAATCACAGGGTCGGCAGTTCAAACTTCAGCAGCTCCTCTGAAACCCTATACAAGATTGCTGTGAGTTGAAACTAACTCAACAGCACTTAGTAGCAACAACATATCTCTAAAAGATAGGGGCTCTTTTATAAACAATCACAATATCACTTGAACTTTTAAAAAAATTAACAGTAATGCCTTAATATCCAATACCCACTTTGTGTGGAATTTTAAAGGTTTTTTGTTTTGTTTTGTTTTGTTTTAATGTTTTTCGTTTAAGTGCAGTAAAAATTTGGACAGCAGGAGCAGTGTTTGAAAAGTAACTAACCAGGAGTATTAAGAGTATCTTAATACTGTTTGGTGTGACGCTGTAGAATAAGCACTGGACTGCAAGTTTGGATTGAACCACAAAACTGGTGGTTCAGATCCACTCAATGCTCCTCAAAAACCCTATACAGGGTCACTATGAGTTGATGTTGACTTGATGGCACTTAATAACAACAAACACTATTTGGAGTCTTTTACTGGAAGGGAGCCCTGGTGGCACTGATGAATAAGCACTGGACTGTTAATCACAAAATTGTAAGTTCAAACCTACCAGCCACTCCTTGGGAGAAAGATGAGGCTTTGTGTTCCCATTAAGATTTACAGTCTCGGAAACCCTCTGTAGGGCTGCTCTGAGTCAGAATTGACTTGATGGCAGTGAGTAGTGGATACCAGGAATTACTTTGAAAATTTGGAGTAATCTTTATGGCTAAGCCTGTAAAGATGAGATAAGTAGGCATTTTAGATAAGGCATCTAATAGATCAAGATTATAACTTGTTTTTAATTTAAATACTCAGAACATGACATAATACCCTAATATCAGACTAGACATCATCTTTCTAATAATGCTTTTAAAACACTTTCCCAATGAAAAATACAGCCATGTTTTTCTAATTGCTGGTTAGAGATCATTTTTTAAAGTGAGTATGAATGTCTGTAACTAACTCAAAAGGTTTAGACAGAAATCTGTATGTGTGTATATACAAGTGGGTTTCAAAAAATTCCATTACCTTTTCATTTATCCACAAACTTTTTGAGGCCTTCTCATATATATACATCTATCTATACATGTATACATCATAGATTCAAGCAAATAGGGCAAAATATTAGCAACCGATGACTCTAGGTGAAGGATGTAGATAACTTGTTTGACTATGTCAACTTTGTAAGTTTGTAAAAATGAGTTTTTAAGTTTTAAAATATTGGCAGTAATGAAATTCTAGTTATAACTTTAATTAAGATAAATGATCAAGAACGAATTCTTATTGTTCACACTGATTACAGGAAATCAAAATAATATATACTCAAATTGATAATTCTGTAATAAGGATAAATGATTCAATAATACTTTTATTTATTATCAGAACGTTTTTAAAGTTAAATATTTTCATAGTTTTACTTATTAAAACAAAATATTGATAATAATTTTTAACTTTTTCCCCTATAGTATCTTTTGGCTATGACCTTTGTTTATTTCAAGAGGGCTAAATTTACTATAAATGAGCACACCAGGATAAATTTCTTTATTGCTCTGTAAGTATACCTTTTACCAAGTGATTTTTGTGGTAGTTATTTATAATATATACTTTATTTAATCTTTGAATTCTTCTTCCTGTTTAAAAGCTTTACGTTTTTTATTTTCATGGAGTATTTTCTGTGTCCTTTTCACTGACCTTATCATGCTGTATACTAAAGATTTATTGTTCAGTATTTCACTGAGTTTGTATTGTACCTGTTAACATTTTTTTCAAAATTTCCCTTGTAAATTTTCCCAGAATCATCTCTTTAGGACTTAAATATTGTTTTAAAGCTAGAGTATTTTCTGAAATTTCTAGTTAGTGTATAGTTAAAGTCATCAACATTGTACTTTTACACGTAGAAAATGCTCTCGACATACTGTTTGTAGATTCATGTGTATAACATAAAGAGTTATTACCTTTTGACAACATTAGTATTCACTATTTTACTGAATACATGAGTGCACCAAAGGAACATAATTTATTTTCCATTTCTTCTGTTGACTTTATATTAGTTTCTATTAGCTTTGTGATCTGGTAAATGGTCTTAATGACATTGTTTTCTAATCAGTAGGTCAGAATTTTATGAAAATCAGTGTTATTTAAAAATAATATTTTTCCATTTCCATCCTGTATCTAGATACAATGATATAATTGGTAATGTTTGATTATAATTTTAAGTACATAATTATTGTTCTGAAATGCTGTCCAATCAGTTCTGGGTTCCGACTCACAGCGATCTTGTATAGGGTTTCCAAGGCTGTACATTGTTGTAGGAACAGAAAGCCTTATCTTTCTCCACAAGTACTTAATTGGGGAGCAAGATATAAAATATCTAGTTTTGAATATCACAATAGCTGTCAGTCCTCAAGAATAATTTTTACTGACGTGTATTAAATTTAGAATCAAAGAGATATTAAGTAGGACTAAAGAAACCAGTCTATCCATATATTTAGAGGACACATTTCCCAGGAAATAGGGAAAAATAAACTGAATATACCTATTCCTCACTTACTGATATTATTAGGTTCTAAATACCGGGTTATTAGATAAAAATCGACATTATACAAAAATGGAAGATGACCAACATCAGATCACAAATCAAGAATGACATATATCATTACATAACTGCCCAAACAATGACAATCAAGGACCAGCCAAACTGACACATAACCTTGACCATCACAGTCAGCAAGTGTTAGTTGGTTTTGTGTGTGTGTGTGAAAAAGAAGTTTATTGGGTGTTGGGGGTTCAGATGAAGTCCATGAAGATGTCATCCTCCATGACACTGGCCTGCAGGACTGGTTGGGGGACCCGGACCTGGGGAACCCTGCTTAGCACATCTGACCTGGCAGGGGACCCTGACCCAGGGCCAGGACTGGGTGGGTGGTGTGTGCAGAATGGAGGCCCCAGTTGGGGCTGTCCCAGGTCTTGGTGTGGAGGGAGCAGCAAAGCTAGAGCCTCTGGAGGCTGGAGGTGGTACAGAGAAGCCTGTGGTGGGGGGTACCCTGTTCTGGGTTGGTGTAGAGTTCAGGAAGGAGGAGGCTCTGAAGCTGGGGATTGGCTTTGGGATTCTGGGTCCGAAGGATTGGGTCAGGTAGGGGTAGACCCCTTGGGGGCCTGGGGTTGGGGCTGCCCTGCCCACCCCAGAGGCCCCCACAGCCCTCTGAGGTTGGAGCTGCAGGGGAGCAGAGCTGGAGCAGATTCTGTGCAGGCCTCGCCTCACCTGCTCCTCCAGAATTGAGCTCAGTCATGGATGTGCCTGTTGTCCCCTTCCCCTCCCCCTCCCTCCATTTCCCCACCCCCGGCCCTCATTGCTGCTGCTCCAGCTTCTGCTGCTGGACCTGCTTGTGGTTGGTGATGAACTGCCAGATGCAATTGACAAAGCCGCTCTGGTTCTAGGGAATGAGGCCCATGAATATCTTTTTGGACAAGTACAGGAGCATCAGCACATGCACCTCACACATTCCTTGCACTTCAGCATTTGTTACTCACAGACACGCATCATTAATGCACATAATAAGTAGTCAAATAATAAATTTTTTACTGCTATAAATGTGAAATGTCAGATAATGAGATAGTCAATAACAGGAGTAGGTATAACAGTCTGCAAATATAAAATAAAATTTTGTGATTGCTAAATTGGGAAGATATAATGGTAATTGGTCCACCAGTCATCTGCCAGTTTGTTGTACTGCGGTGGCTTGCTTGTTGCTATGATTCCAACAGCTGTTGTTGTTGTTAGGTGCCATTGAGTCAATTCCAATGCATATCAACCCTATGCACAACAGTATAAAACACTGTGTGATCCTGTGCCATCCACACAATTGTTATGCTTGAGACCATTGCTGCTGCCACTGTGCCAGTCCATCTCGTTGGAGGTCTTCCTCTTTTATGCTGAACCTCCGCCTTACCAAGCATGATGTCTTTTCCAGGGACTGGGCCCTCCTGATAATATGTCTAAAGAATGAGAGACAAAGTCTTTTCATCCTGGCTTCCAAGGAGCATTCTGGCTGTACTTCCTCCAATACAGATTGGTTTGTTCTTTTGTCAGTCCATGATACAATATTTTTCTCCAGCACCATAACTCAAATGCATCAGTTCTTCTATAGTCTTTCTTATTCATTGTCCAACTTTTGCATGCATATGAGGCTATTAAAAATACCATGACTTGGGTCAGGTGAAACTTAGACCTCAAACTGACATCTTTGTTCATGAAAACTTTAAAGAGGTCTTGTGCAGCAGATTTGCCTAAGGCAATATATTGTTTCCTTTCTTGACTATTACTTCCATGAATGTTGATAGTGGATGCAGTTGTGAGGATTTTTATTTTCTTTACATTTGGGCGCACCCATACTGAAGGCTGTGGTCTTTGATCTTCATCAGTAAGTATTTTAAGTCCTTTTCACTTTCAGCAAGCAAAATAATTAATGAGTCTTCCTCAAATCTTGCTGCCACATTCTTCATATAATCCAGATTTTTAAAAATTATTTATAGTTTAAATAAGTATGCTGAAAGGATACAACCCTGATACATACCTTTCCTGATTTAAACCATTCTGTTCTAATGACCACCTCTTGATCTATGTACAGGTTCCTCATGAGCACAATTAAGTGTTCTGGAATCCCCATTCTTTGCAATGTTACCTATAGTTTGTCATGAACCACACAGTCTAAAGTCTGCATAATTGGGAAAGCACAGGTAAACACTTTTTTGGTACTTTTCTGCTTTCAGCCAAGCCAAGATCTATCTGATATCAGCAATGATAATCCCTCATTCTATGTCTTTGTCTGAATCTGGCCTGAACCTCTGGCCATTTCCTGTCAATATACTGTTGCAGCCTTTTTTTTTTTTTTAAGAGCTTTTATTGTGGCTTGAGTGATAGTTTACATGGCAGTTACATGGCATAACATTGTTTTTGCACTCAACCAATCATTTTTTGTTTCATTGCAATTACAATCCTCTCCATGCACCATCGGTTAACAGTTGTATTTGCCTCTATTCTCTTTTTTTTTTTAATGTACACAAAAACATTCAAGAACATATAATCATTTAAGCAACCAAAGGGCATATTTTGCAAGTCAACCTCCTGCCCGCCAGCACATAGCCTTTCTCTTTTCACAAGTCTAGAGTCCTCTGATGTCGATGCTTCTCTGGTTAGGATCATACTCTTCCCTCTTGATGGTCTTGGGTCCTGTGTTCCTGGAATGTAAGATTACTCGATCCTTTTTGTTACACATCTTTTACCTTTACAGTTGTGACAATTGCAATTAGTCAAGGTAAAAATTACTATTGAATCAAAAGAATCCTATCTTCGTCTCCTTTCACCATACCCATCTAGACAAGATGAAAACTATTCAGTGGGGATTCTACCTTCCTCGCACACGCTGAAACTAAACTCTCTTTTGAAAACTTGTAAGCCAGCCACTTTGTGCCTTTATGCTCCCCCTCCCTCCATTTTAGGTAACCAGTATCTAAATTTCCCAGCCCTATCAACCTGTGTACAGAGGGAATGGGTCTGGTCCTTGAAGTGAGACTCCTTCCTTCTTGGTATTTTGAGCAATTACATCCATAAGCAAAGGTCAGTACATCAAATTGTAGCATTTTACACTTGCTTCCTGTATCAAATTTCTTTATTTTCCTCCAGTTCTAATCATCAAGCCATCCAAGCTAGGTCAAATGAGTACTATCTGCAAGCTTGAGCATTCTTGTGCTCCCCCCCATGTCATATCTGCTGGATGCTTCACTCTCAGCTCTAGCCCCCAGTAGTTAGGTCAGTGTCCATGAGCTCAAGAGTTCCCAAGTCTCCCCCAAACTTCAGATCAACCAGCCTTTCCTCTTCTCTCATCTCCAGGTCAACAAGAGTCTGTGGAACATGGTTGAACTCAGCCCATGTCTTCATTACTGCCTTTCCCCCATTTCCATTCACAAGTAGACCAACGCAGTCACCAGCAGGCTTCTGTGTTCCCTTTGAGTTTCAGTCTTGGAAGGGGGTTTGCCCTGGAGGGACTTGATAACTTGCCTTAATGGCTCCCATGCGAACAACTTGCTTTTTCTTGTAATCGCCAGTTTGTTGCAGCCATTTTTGAAATATCTCCAGCAATATTTTACTTGCAGGAAGCTTTGCTACTGGTATTTTAAATACCAGCAGAGTCACCTGCTAAACCATGGTGGGCAGGTTTCAGTGGAGCTACCAGACTATGACAGACTATGAATATAAGGAGAGGCAGACTACTGAATATCTAGCCACTGAAAACCTTAAGAATAGCATTGTCAGATAGAGTCCTAAAATATGAGCCCCTGAGGTTGGAAGACACTCAAAATACAACTGGGAAAGAGCTGCCTCCTCAAAATAGAGTTGATCATGACAAGCTTTAGATAATTGTTGAGGAATGTTGAACAATAATCCAAGAAGCTGAATGATACGAAGAACAACATGCTCATCAGTTTTACATTCAACAAACCATACACTTTGCTTCACTACATGGTTACAATATGGAATGACATTCTTTAATC